TTATCATTTCAATATTGTCCTTTTCTTTTATAAATTTTTGGATATGCAAGCAAATGAATGATGAAAACATGCTTGACAAATTTTGCAACATTTGCAAAATTGTATGACTTGTTTCTTCCAATACTTTCATCCATTTCGCACTCTCTTCTTGCTTTTCTCAATTTTCAATATGCTTATGATGATAATTGTGTAAATAAATGTGATAAATGAAAATTTTCAACCAATAGTTTCTATCGTAATAATTTTAATTTTACGCTAAAACTAGTTAATGCTTTGATTAATATCAATTCTCAGTCTTTATAAAATGACAATTAATTAAAAAAGGCTTAGTTTAGTTTATTCTCAAAAATTTTCATCATCCAAAATACGGTCAAATAAAAATGCTAGAATTGGACAATCGTATTAAAGCTTACAAATTTATCGGTTATTTCGCTTTCTTTTTTTCCTTCCTGGCTATTTTATCCATTTGCATAACATTACCGTTGGTTTATAATTATGTTCATCATGTACGACAACAAATGAATAATGATATTTTATTTTGTAAGGTAAGTTTAAGTTATCAGACAAAGTTAATTTGTTACTTTCTTTCTAATTATTTCAATTTTTTTTTTAACAAGAAATTTTTTTTTAAAAAAAAAGAAGGCGATGTTTCAATTTTTATTTATTATTTTATTTAATTAATACGGGGATTAAATCCAAACTTTAGTCTTAATTTTTCAAAATTTCCAATTTTTCAAGTCAATTTTTTAATTTTTAAATACTTTTTCACCTGAAAGACAAGATTTGGTCTCATACAAAATCTTTTCTACAAATGGTCCTAGAAAAATGAATTTAAAAAGATGAAAAAGTTATGGATCTTATTTTATATTTGAAAATAAACGATAAAAAAAATTTTTTTTCAATCTTTAATTATTGAAATAGCAAGTTTATAAGTTTATTTCAAGTCAAAATCAAATTAGCATATTCCCTTCTAACAAAATTTCAAATTATTTCAAAATTTCCAAGCTAATAGAAAGATTTTCGTACACATCGATAGCAGCTTTACTTTTCTTAATTCAACATTCATTAGGCTTGAATTTCCTTGGAAATAATGAAATGAAGTCATGGAATTTGAAAACTTTGCTCATAAATCAAACAGCTCACTAGAAATCAGCTGAAATTTTTGAAATCAAATTTGTTGAGAATTAGTTTAATGAAATCAAGTACAGTTAACTAATAGATTAGTTATTTAAGTAATCATTATAAATAAATATCAATAGGTCACTTATAATCTATATAATCTCTTTGTAATTCAAAATCTTGCAAACATTCAAGTCTCTTTAAATTGAAAAATTTTTTTTGCCATAATTTATGATTTTCTATAAAATTCATGATTTTAAAAAAAAGTGACTTTGTTTGCGATGGTAAATTTGAAAACAATTTTCGAATTCTAAAATTTTTGAAGTATTCGACTACTTTCAATTTATAAGAAGAAATGAAATTTCAAAAGAATCTTGATTTAAAAAAGTGACAGAAATTCTAGAGCTCTGTAAAAGATACTTGGATGAAAGTACAACAGCTACGAAACAATCCAATAGAGATGCTAAATCGAACAGCTCGTCAAGCTGGTTATGGAGAAATGCCACAGCAAGCACCGCCACCAGAAATTAGTGGCGGTAATTGTGACGAGTGTTGTCAACCGGGTCCTCCCGGTCCAGAAGGACGACAAGGAAAACCGGGCAAACAAGGGCGTCCTGGAGCTCCTGGACGCCCGGGAAATCCGGGAAGACCACCACCACAAATATGCGAACCAATAACTCCACCACCGTGCAAGCCATGTCCTCGTGGGCCACCGGGTGAACCTGGCCCAGAAGGACCAATGGGAGAAATGGGACCACCAGGACAACCAGGAGATCCTGGACCTGATGGGCCAATGGGAGAACAAGGCATGGATGGTCCGGATGGTGAACGAGGTCAAGTAGGACCTCCTGGACCGCCTGGTGAACAGGGTATGGATGCACCAAATGAGACACTTCAACCAGGAATACCTGGTCCTCCAGGTAACATCTTTTCTTATTTCTGAAATATGGTGCTAACTGTGATGACATAAAATTCTACTAAGCATGCCACATCATAATTATTTTATGCAAAGATATATTACACTTGTAGCAATATATGTTTTCTAGGTGATGAAGGGCCAAAAGGACCACCAGGACGAGCTGGGAAACCAGGCAAAGATGGAGCACTCGGACCACAAGGACCCAAAGGAAATCCTGGTATAGATGGTAAACCAGGTAAAGATGGAAATCGAGGTGAACAAGGACCACCTGGCAAACCTGGTCCACCTGGTGAAAGGGGTATCTGTCCGAAGTACTGTGCAAACGATGGTGGTATTTTCTTCGAAGATGGTTCACGTCGTTAATAGTCATCTTTTACTAATTTAAACAGTTGATGATTTTCATGAGATTTATTTCAGCATATTTAACTTCTTCTTTCGTTGGTGCTTCTAATAAATGATTGCTATCTAATAAAGTTTCATTGGTACTTAATTTGAAATTTGCATAATGACAAAACAATTTCGGTATCTTTTTTCCTTTTGTTTTAATAAAAAATCTGAAAAAAAATTCGTAAATTTCCCTTTTTCGGACACAATAAATCAATGTAACCTTTGCATACAATTTAACAAAAAAAGCGATATTTAAAAAGAAACTAGAAATTTTCGACCAATTTAGATAATTTTAAAAATGTGTATATTATGATGATATTATCATTTCTGTTAGATTAAAGGAAAAATAAAAGATTTTTCTCTTTGATAAATACGAAATTAAAATCGTATCAAATTCAATAATTGGGATCTTTTGAATTAAGAATTTAAAATACTAAAAAGAAAGGAAAAATGCGATGAAATGAAATTTTTTTTTTGAATAAATTTAACAAATTGAAAAACCAAATTAATAGATATTTCTACAAAATTAAATCAGTTTGTTTTCCTGAAATTGGATCAATATTTTCAATTTACAACAGTGATAAATAAAAAGTTAATAATTAATATTCGAAATCAATAATTTCATGCTCAGTAGTAAATTGTTTTGTATGAGTGTTAGAAATGAAGAGAGAAAGAAATGAATGAGAAGAATGAGAAAGGTAATAAGAAAAAAAAAAGTCAAAAGTATGTGAAATAAGAAAATGGAAAAAATCGATAATAAAGTAATTTTTCCTCTTCTCTTTTTCCCCCCTTTTTTTTTTCTTCCTTTTCTCGAATGAATTTCTAATTATTATATTTTCAGTTTTCGGATTTCGAATTTATCATTTATTTCATTTTCTGAAATCAATAATAAAAATTAAACCGTTAAAATATGATATCCTTGTGTACAACATTTAATGTTGTGAATCGTTCAATGAAACCTGGTTAAAACGGGTAAGAAAGGTGATTGATGAGGTGTTTATATATTTTCGATGATTTGTTGGAATGCAAAGAGTCAATGAAAAATTGAGAAATAGTATATGAGTTGTGATAATTATCTTAATTTGATGAAACGGTTGCGCATCCATTTTCGTAATGAATGATTCATTTATTAGAAACATTAACTATTATCTTGTTTTGCATACATTTCTTTTATTAAATATTTAGATATTATTTTTGATTTTATTACTTTTCTTGTTTTTTTTTTAATTTTTATTTGTTGTTATTTCATTATTATTTGGAGTTTTGCTTTCTTCACTTTTTTGCTCCAAAAAACTTAAATTTATAATAACTGATAAATTAATTATGTTTTTAAGTTTTATAGGAACAATATTTTGTGCGATTTATTGTGAAATTTTGAAATTTTTCATATTTTACTTTTTTTTAAATTTTTATTTACTATCAGTAAACAAATGGTGGATTACAAAGGGAAGAGAATTTTATATTATTGGAATGGCGCATGAAATTCGACTTAGATATTCGTTCATCAATGACCGAAAATTGCACCGGTAAGGTAAAAAAGACAATCCGATGAATGAATGAATTAAATGAGAGGAATGCGCAATGAATAGATTACAGTAATTCTTCTTGAAAACGATTTCGATTAAATTAAAATATAATTAATTACTTCGAAGTTAAGTGAAATTAATTTTTATAGATTCAAATTATAATTATGTATCAATGGCAATTTTTCATCCTACTATATATGGAAGCCAGAACTCAAGCTCAAACAACAGTAATATGCAACTTTTTCTCTTTTTTTTTTTTTTTAATCTTAATATTTTATTTTTTATAGATTGGAAAAAAAAGTGTATGATTTTAAAATTTCGCATTTTTTCTTTCAAAATGATATTATTTAAATAAAAACTATGCAAGAATTTGTATTGTTTGAAATTCAAATAATATTACGAAGTTTTGTAATAAAAGAAAATTGATATTTAAGTTTGCGTTTCTTTCTTTTAATTAATGTTCAAATTTTTTTTTTAGGATAAAGTAAAACAGCAATGGAATACTGTAAATGGTAATGCTGCTACTAGTACTAGTACTAATACTAGTACTACTACTACTACCACTACTATCACTACTACTACTACTATCACTACTATTACTACTACTACAACTGCTACTACTACTGCTACTACTATCACTACTACTACTACTAATACCACATCTACTGCTATTACTACTCCTATTTTACCTCTTAAATTTTTTGGGTAAGTCTAAAAAAGAACTATTAATTTAGTAATAACTTTTTATAAATTTTATGATAATATAATTATTTCTATTTTTTTTTTTTTTTTTTTGAAGAGAAATACCGTACCATCCACCAAATGATGATATAAATGTTTACTGTCGAAATGGTGGTATTATGGCTGAATATGGTTGTATATGTCGTTATCCATATACCGGAATACGATGTTTAGATTTTGCTTGTGGTACTTTTATTTTTATTTTTTATTTTTATCAAATTATTATTTATTTCGTTGTTTCATTGCTTTTCGTCTTATGAAAAAAATCTAAACAATTAAAAAAATTATAAATTATTATTTCATATAAAAAATTTCATATATGTATTTAATGTTTTTTTTACAGTACGATTCATTTATTTCTAGCACATGGTATATCAGTTGGGATTCGTTATGATCCAGATAGTTTATTTTTTAATAAACCTTGTATTTGTGATGATGATTGGAGTGGTGATTTATGTGACATATTGAAAACAAATCAGGCAAGCAATTCTTCAAAATTATTTCATTATTAATAAATACATGATGCTACTAATTTTATGTTTTCAAATTTTTATTTATTTATTTCTTCCCTTTTTTTTTCAAATTTCATCAAATATATTAATATATATAGATATATTTTTTAATAATGAATCATCTTTTATATTTGCTTAACAATTAACCATATCTTACTATATTTGTAGCTAAAAATTACAAGATAAAACATATATTACAAGTTTAATTAGCTTAATTCCCTACTTTTTCCATTCCAGTTAATTATTAACAATCAATTCTAATATCTAATATTAGCGAAAGATTAGGAATTTGCATTCATCATTTAGATTTATCATTTGTAACGATTTAATAATATGTTTATATTCCTTTAATTAATTGTAACAGTTAAACTTGACAACTTCACTTGTCCTAAAATATTTTTTAGCTATTTTAAGACAAAATAAAATTCGTTTTTCTCATTAGCATGCTACAACTACATTGTATTTATCGTATCAATTTTACAATAACAATATTTATTTCTCGTAGAAATTTGATCCATTTTTGTCCTCATTTCTATATTCAGACTGCTCTTTGTATCGTTGCATTTTCTTTTTAAATCTCTTCTTCTAAACTATTTTATAAATGTTATCATTCTCTTCCTTATATTAAAACATCAGCACTATTTTTGTTCCTCTTCCCTTTTTGACTTAAAAAAAAAAAGACCATAACTATACTTTAGCAATCCATTCGTTTCATTATGAACATTCATTCTACCAATAAGCTAAATGAATTTAATTAATTTTCCTTACTGATATATGCATGAAATATTTCGAGAAATTTGAGATACTGGAAGTTATCATTCAGTGTAACGATCGTGGTGAATTCAGAGACGGTCAATGTCATTGTGCCGAACATTTTTTTGGCTCACAATGTCAGTATGTCAGCAGATGCGATCATGGCAGACGGAAACATGGAAGGTTTTCATTTTTAATTTTTTTTTCTTCCTTTTTTTTAATCGAAATTCACAAATATTTAAATTTGGAAATTATAAGATTTCAAAAATTAGAATTACAAATAAATCTCAATTTATTTCAGATGCCTGTGCGATGATGGTTGGAAAGGAGATTATTGTCATGATATCATTTGTCAACATGGCTATCCAGGTAAATGAGCGGTTGAGTACAGAAATACAACTTGAAGATTCTAAACTGCATATCTGTACTGATTTCAAAGAAAAAAAAAAGGAAAAAGAAAGCACACATACATCAGAGTAAAATTTAAAAAAAGCAATGCTAACAAAATCTACATTAATTAAAAATTTAATAGTGAAAAACAAATTCAGATATCAATAATAAAAGTGAATCATGTGTTTGTCCGGCACGATTTACCGGAACTCACTGTGATCGTTGTTCCCAGAAAGGACCTAAAATTAGGCCATATCCAGAGTGCAACATTGATATCTCGAAAAGTAAAGTAAAGCAACAACGACAAGAGGCAGAAACACAGGTATCATCATTTTATATTATTAAAGAAAAACGGGATTTGAAATTATTGTCATGTGAATGATACACATCAATTTATTCAATTAATCCCAAAGTTTATTTTCTCCTCAAAATGATATTTGAGTAATTCAAGCATAATTCTGAAAATTAGATCATAATATTGCAGTTCCAATTGCGATTGAGGATTATGGGAGCTACAAGCTTTTTGCTTTTATTTCTGGTAATAACAATGATTTTCTTCCATCGACGCAGGATTTACAAAAGAAAACGTTCAGAGAGGCAAAATATTCGAAAGCATAACTCTGAAATCCGAAAAACAGTCCTTGAAAAAGCTGTACGGTCCACAGAATGTCTGAATGTTGAGCAGAGGTATTCATTTGTTTAAAACCTTATTGATTATTCCCAAATTTTTTCGACTATTTTTTTTTCGGTGTAAGCAAAAATCAGCATTATGTAACATGCTGACATTTTCATCTAATTCTGGACATTTGAAAGCTAACTTTTACAGGACGGAATATATAGAAGAAAAAGATAGGAACTACAGGAAACCAATGAAAACGAACAGAAGATTATCACACTTTCTATAGTTATCAAAATGAATTTTGCAAATGTTCATACGTATGATTTGGGAATCGTAGCTCAATAACTCTACAGGTAATCACAAAATCCAGGACGAACTTTGGATTTTTGGATCAGAATTAAGAAGGATGACATGAAGTGGATTAAAATCACGCTTAGTGATTAAAAATTTTCACTTTTTTGAATTTTAATTGAATTCTTTGTACTGTCAAAAAAATCCCTTGACTGCTTTACAAATTTATTCTGTACGCTGCAACTGATCACTATACAGATCAATAATTTGTTGTTAATATCATATTGATTAATAAAATACGCGCAATATGTGAACTGCTAACTTGTCAAACACATCCCACAGTCAAGGGAAATAAAATACTGCAGTGAGAAATAAAAAGGTTAAATCTCAAATTATGAATTCAGGAAAAAAAACCATCTAGAATCTATAGGAATGAAAAATTCAGGAGTACCTTTGGAACACTCATTTTCTTTCGCAAACGGTACACCAATGAAATAAAATCAAACTAACCAAAATCTAGGCATTACTAAACAAATAAATAATATCTAAGCCAATGTTATATACTGTGTGTTTCCCTAGTAACGCATGCGATATTCTTAACTACAACTTGAATTCATTCCACTATCAGTTTCTTGGAATCGGACAAAAAAGTCTCACACTTTGCACACAACGGATACTTTGTGAGATCAGAATCTAGTTTGAAAAGGACGAGAAAAAAAGCAATTTACAATGGATAAACTTACAAGCAATGAAAAAATTTTTTTTTGCTTGAAATTAACATTTTAATTGATTTAAAAAAAGAGCAATTAATGAGTGTAAGATGGGAATATAATTCAATTTATACAAATAACTGTATCCAGAAATAAAATCTCTGCAACCTAACAATATAAAGATAAAAGTAGGAATAGATAAGTGTTTCGTCCAAATACAGTGGTTGTCTTAGGGAAGAAAAGTAATAAAATCGGAAGAGGAGGAAACAACGAGTATCAAGTGATTTTAAAAAGTAGCATGTCTAGCATGTCCTATTATAACCCGTATAAAAATATTCAGATAAATTGTACCCAGTCAGACCTAAGTGCTTTGTACGTATCGCTGTCGCTTTCAATAATACCGATATCTCCTAGAACGTTAGAAACAAATATTCCAACAACTGTCTGCGCCTGAGCAACCCCATCCGCATCCTGCACGTTGTATGTTTTGTAGAAATCCATGGTCATCAGAATATTGTATTTGGGCCGTTCGTCTTTGCCCTTGATTAGGCTGAAGATTACACTTTTCGTTAGATACATCTTCAATCGTGAAAAAGAAAACGATTAATGAATTTGTTGATAAAAATTTTGCTTATCGAAAAAAAAAACGCAAACATCCGAAAATTATTTCGCTTCTACTAACCCGACCTCTTCTTTCTTCCGTGACACCTCGGACCAGACAGCGACTTTGATTTCACAAAAATAAGAAAAATTAAAATTACCAGTGGTTGATAAATGTAACCAAACATGTGGAATAGATTCCGGGTGGCATAATGGGAGGCTCACCATTCACCACTTCTTGTAATTGTTGGAATGGTGAATCCCAGGTTGAGAATGGAAAACGTCCTGTTGAAACTTCAAACTGGAAATAAAAGTTACCTTAAATTCAATTAATTTACATTCTTTACAGTTTTATTGAAATCTCATGAACTGATGCACACGCATGCTTGTTCACAAACTTACTAGAGTTATGCCCAACGACCAAACGTCAGATCGAACGTCATACGGCTCATTCGATTGAAGTCGTTCAGGCTATAATGCACCAATATTGGATGAAATTTTAAAGAAATGTATCAAAATTCAATTTAATCACTTTCCGGAAGTTTAATTGAATTACAAAACGATCAAAATTCTTTGAAAAGAAGATAACACACCGCCATATATGGCCGGCAACCTGCATCCTGAGTTTTAGCAATGGAATCAATCAAATGACCGGCTATACCAAAATCACATAGTTTTATATGTCCCTTTCGATCCAACAAAATGTTGGATGGTTTAACATCTGCAACCATATAAATGACAACCAACAAAATCAACCGACATTTCAGCAATCGACACTTCGAAATTTCGAAAAAGTATAGAATTAAACTGACCCAAAAACTAACCTCGATGAATTATTCTTAAATCTTCCTTAAGATAGCTGAGAGCATTCACTGTCTGAAATAATCAACATTACATAAACCAGCCTTGTAAACCATGTTTCTAAACGGAATCCTTGGAAAAATGTCTATTCCTAGTTATACCTTTCTCACAACATCTACCATCAAAAATTTAAAAAAAAAGAATCTTGCGGGTCAATCCAGTTTGAATAAAACCTACCGAAACTGCTATATATCCGATCATATCTTCCGGAAGAAAACTCCCTTTTTCATAAACTATTTTATAAAGACTCTCCAGAGAAATATCCATTAATTCCATGCATATCCAACAATCACCCTACAAAACTTTCATTCTCAACCAAATAAATTCAGGAAAATTCTGAAAAAATTAGCAAATGTTTAGATAAAGAAGAATGAAAAAAATAAGAAGAAATTTATTAACTTCGGTAAAAATAGCACCATAAAAGCGAACAATGTTTTCACACTGGCTACTCATAATTGCTTCAAGTTCCATAAGCAAATGTTTTTGCTCTGTTGCGTTCACAGTATTTGATCGGATACGCTAAATAATAAATTCATTCTAGCTGGAACCACTTCAAATCCTTGTAAAAGTCGAAAATAATACTCTCGCGACCAAATTTTTATATAGGATACCAATATCTTTCAAAGAATTCTTACTTTAACAGCTAACACAGTTCCGGATTTCGTATGAAGCATCCGGCTAACCGTTCCAAAATTCCCACGACCGATCTCGCCTTTGTCGATGAGATCATTACATGTAAAATCATACTCTTCATTCGACGAAAAACGTAATTTACCTGCGGAATGGGTCCGCAAATATGCACTGAAATGTCCATTGAAATTTTGTACGGAATATACCTTGTGCATCTGTATTCTATTATTTTACTAGTGCTACCTTATTGAGATTATAAAGAATGGAGCTATATGAATGAAATGAATAAAACCGCATGGATGAAATGAATAGAACCAAACGCTGATCTGTAACCTAACAATTTCAATCTTAATATGATACATACATCTGGCATGAACCAGTGAATAAACTTGAAGTATGCCAAATTTGCAGTCCTGATTAAATGATGAAACAGCATACGTTAAATCATGCAACTTACACAATAAACTGCGATGCTCACCAGTTGCTAAGGTTTATCACGCTTATACGAAGCGCACGTTGCAATCGAATTTTAGAAACTGTGTGAGGGATCGACAGCTTTTCATTATTTTAAAACTTGCGAATCTCAATTGATTTTGAAAATTGAGGTAACTAACAGTTGTGGTGATGTTTTTACATCAGGTAACGGAGGAAAATCAAGCTTTAGATTGAAACGTCCCACGTCAAGAGACTTCGGTTGTTCGGCCATCTTTTCCAGTTGATGATGTCCTTCCAAAACTATCGTAATTCAGTTAGAAAAATGGCAAGCGAAACTTCATTAGTACTATGCATTTCTTTCCGAATAATTCACCGTTATACACCCTGGAAAAATCACTCAAAAGTGGAATAAATATGAGAAATTCATTCACAAAAGACTGTTCTGTGAGAGAGACAAAACTGAAAAGATAAAGAAAATTTAGACGGATAGGAAAAGAGCAGGGGTATTTTAATGTTGTACTAATAAATACCTGAGTCCTCTCGGAAAATAATCATCTTGGCATTCCTGTCCGCGAACCGAAGTAGGACATCCCAGTGCTTCTCCGAGCAGGGAAATAACGTTTGCATAATGGCCTAACCGCTAGTCAGTATAGTGCGGAGCACGGCATTTCTTAGATTGTCTACTTTCTGGTGTTGGGTTTTTCTGAGTAGGTGTCAAGTAATGGTTTGATGAGGGTTTTGGATTCATTCAGACCTTTTAGTGACATGTTTTTGATAGAAGAGTTGGACCCAGAAGGATCATAGGAGTCCTTTTAACTTTTCAAGAGGGCTACTGCAATCATGTCATCTTCATTATGTTGCGATTAACTTGTATCCCTCTAACTGACTCTTGGATTACACAGAGAGAGAGGGAGATAGAGAAAGAGAGAGAGAAGAAAACACATACTGGATATGGATCTTTATATTCTTGACATTTTTATTGGCAAGTGAGAAGTTCAGGTCGGCCTAGAAACTTTCATGTTTTTTCCTTGTATTTGAGTTTAAAAGCATTTGTAATCGTGGCTTAATGACATCATTTTAGACTTTGATTCATACCTTTCATTTCAGATTGTGTTCCTCAAGTCTTGCAATTCTTTTTAATTTAAATTACTTTCGTCAGTGATGGTCAGCAACCTATGATTTCATTATAGACTTCGCAACCCACTGAGTTTTCCCTGCCACCATTAGGATGGGAAGAAATTTTCTGCTGCAAATAGGAATTTATCTTATGACACTAGATAGGATTGCTGTCTATCGTGATCAATTGTCCATTCAGTAGTGTAATAGCCACTATAAATAGTCTAATTTTTATAGTTTTTTCATTCTCTCCTTCAAGTAGGTTAAATTAATTTCAGGTAATTAATGGGCACATAATGTCTGTTTTTCATGATGAAGTTGAGATCGAAGATTTCGAGTATGATGAGTCCACCGAATTATATAGCTATCCGTGTCCGTGTGGAGATCGATTTGAAATTTCGAAGTAAGCGATTCGACACATTTGTTGTTGGATGTCTTTTTATGTGCCTAAATGTTTGTTTATGTGGATTGAGAAGTTTTTATGTCTCGAGTTTAGTTGGGAGCGAGATAGATCTACCACTCTAATCTTTTCGATTACGGGTAGAGTAAATTTTGCACAGCAGAATGCCAACGAAATGATATTCCCTGGAATTTAAGTTTTAATGTGTAATTGATCATGAACTTCTGGTTTTATACATGTGTGCAGTGTCAAGCGTTTTTTTTTCAGGGAGATGTTAGAAGCAGGTGAAGATGTTGCTACATGTCCTAGTTGTTCGCTGATTGTTCGAGTAATCTATGATCCAGATATGTTCATTAACTTAGAAGTTTTGCCAAGTGTCAATACGCAGAAAACAGAAATGATCAGTGCATGAGTTATTGATATCATTGAATGCATTGCAAAATACTGGGACGGAAATATTTCAGATGCAAATAGGGATGTAAAGCGATTTTACATTTTACAATTTTCAGGGCTTTGTTTTAATTTTTCTTTTTTACATTTATGAGTCCCTTACAAAAAAATAAAGTATGCTGTTATTATACTGTGACAAGACAAATTGCACATGTACCGGTTTGGATTTTAAACAGTTTCTGTGCTTAAAAGTGGTAGCTTAGAATTGAATCTGTTGTCAGAAGCTTACTGGACCTGGCACGCAATTTTATTACAGTTTAGGCGAGGTAAGAATAATTTGTGCAACGAAGATCAAAAATGCCAGAAAAAGTTGACTTATACTGTAATATGCTTGCTTTAAAGAAGTGCAAACCTAGTTTATTATTCAGGAAATATAAGTTTTCAACTGTTACTTCTTGAAGATCTAGGGTGGACACGACATTCATTCATTTTGTGAAACAAGATCTGATTGTTGACTGCCATCTGTTCTGGCGAAATGGTTACAAAGTCTTAGAAATGGCACTAACTGGAGCGAATTCCATCATCATAACCAGAAATTATCATTTGCAGAGATGAACGGACGGTTGCACTGCACTCTCCTAAAATGTGCATAGATCTGGGGTAGCTTCGAAAAGTTAGTCGTTGGGAAGAAAGGAATCCGATTAAACCTGTTTTAACCTATTAGGGCCGACAGGTCAAGGTGGATGGAGATTGTTGGGTTAGCTGGCCGTAATGAACTTTACATGTCCTTTTTTATTTCTCTAACTTTCTTCTGATTTAGTGCTTTCCTCTTTTTTCCTACCAAAAAAAAAAAAAAGAAAATCACATTGTTCTCTCATAAGTTTAGGATTAAAATAATTTCAATTTATGGGCAGGAACGTTCTCAGAAGACCAAATCTAAAAGATTAAGCACATTTCGATATGTAAAGGAGGTATATTCGAGTAAAATGATTTACTGCGTGGAATATAGATTTAAAAGTTGCACTGTTCTTCCTATAGTATTTTCCAGCAATATATGGGCATTATTAAAAGGAAATATCAGAAGGAGTATTTGATATGATCGAAATTAAAAATTGATTAAAACGTGTTGAAGGTCGAGCGAAATCTTCCAAGTTCAGCGTACATCATCGCTTGTTCGATCATCTTCCGCGGAGTTATCTTGGAAATGGGACATGAAATTAATAATTTCAAATCAAATCCCTAACAAATGAAAAGAAGGCTTTAGTTGTATCGGTTTTTTTTTTTTCTTTCCCTTGCATATTGTCATTAAAAAGCTCATTTAGTGAAGTCTTTCATTTTTGTCTTTTCAACAATAATTAATTGAAAGGACGATTAACGTCATTTTCTAATTAGCTCTTTAAATAGTTTCATCCGTTTCTTTCTGCTAAATTTACTTCGATTAAATCTTCAGCTATAAAACAGATTGTTCGATATTTATAAGGAAAAGTACGATACATTTTATTCAATTATTTTTCGAATAATATCCGCTTGATCTGTTTTTTTTCTTTTTTTTTGTTAAAATATGTTGTTTTCTTCCTGAAAAAGAAACAATCATTTTTGTTATTTTACACCAAATTTGCTGAAATAGGTAATTAAAATAGTTGAAAAAGAAGGAATTTCAAACTTTTACATTCACGATTTCATATTCTTCTGTAAAATTTTCAAAATTACCAGTATGTTCCTTGTCCTTTACCTCCCATAATAATTTGTTTTGATGCTACAAAATACGTCGTAATGGTGTGAAACTTGCTCAATTAAATTGTATAATTGGTGAAGAGAAAAAAAAAAGAAATTTGAAGAATTCAAGGATTGATGTTTGTCAAACTGTAATTTTCTTTATTTGAAATTTCACACTTTTTGGTTTCTCACTTTTAATCGGTATTTTCAAAAATTTCCCCTCTCAAGCATGATTAATGATTATTTCTTTTTTAGGAGGTGAAAAGGTGGAGCGGGAGACACGAGGGAAGGAAAAAAGGAAGGGGAATTTAAGATGAACTACAAGTAAAGAAAACTTTTAGAGAAATTAATCAATATCAATAGCATTGTAAATTTGTGAAATATTAGCACAAAAATAAATAAATAAAATGGTCCATGTTTGAAAAGTGTAGTCATATTTCATCCTGATGGTAATTACCGGGAATTCTTCCAAATATCTCAACCATTTTACATTATTTCTAAAGTACGGGAAAAACATTTGTTATTAGTGAACGTATGTTCGCTAATTTAATTTACGCAAAAACAAAAGTGGAACTACGTATTGCGTAAATTTTCTACAAAAATTTTGCTGAAAGTGTGCAAATACGATGCTGATAATGATAATGATAATGATAGTGATAATAATGAATGATGGATGATAAGAGCTTTAAGCCATAATAATCTTGTTAATATAAAATCATAGTGGCAGAAACAAAATTATGATAACAATTAGGGGCATGTATAATAAAAACTATGACATTTGTTAAGCTATAGTGATGATGATAATACTTTGCAAACTAACATGGATAATCAATAATTATGAACAATTTCATCAAATGACAATAATGTTAATAGAGATCAGATAATTTAAACGATTTAATTGATAGCTTTAATTTGATAGTTTAACAAACAACGTATGACAAATCAACAGGTTATAAGTGCATTTGCGATTGATGCAGAATTTATGTGAAAGGTATAATGGATAATACCGATGCAGATCATTGGTAGCAATTAATTTCCGCCAAATTCTTCAAAAGAATTTGAAATTAACCATCGAATTTTCTTTTTAGAGAAAAGAAAAGGAAATGCACTATTAGCAATACCTGGCCTGATAATAATGGAATTTATTAAAAAATAAAAAATGAATAAAAGTAAGAAAGCGTTGACACTGACGGAAAGTCATACTGTCCCATTAAATTAATTGTTTAAAATGAAAGATAGTTCACTAATTGTTAAGAAATTGATAAAGAATTGATAAAATTTTCAAATATTACCTATGATTTTCAAATTACAATTACTTGTTGAATAAGATTTATAAAGCAAATTTTTATAATTGGGAAAAGAGAAAAAGAAAACGAAAGAAATAATTTGGAATAGTGACATTATTTTTTAGTCTTCCTAATATTTTACCAGAATTAATTTATCTCGTGAATGAAGCCATATGAAATTCAAACATTCATTTGTCAAGATAACATTTTTAAAAATATTGCTTGGATTTTCAAAGCTCAAAAGTTCTTTTCTTTTTGTTTGACATTATTGTTATTGTTATTATTATTATTATTGTTATTATTATTATTATTATTATTATTATTATTATTATTATTATTATTATTATTATTATTATTATTATTATTATTATTATTATTATTATTATTATTATCATTATTATTATTATTGTTATAATAATAATTATTACCAATATTATCAGTTTCTTTACACCAATCATTGTATAGGTTGATTGTGCAGCATAGGATAAATATCTGTTGGTTATTTTAAATTAGGTTTTATTCAGGTTGCAAATATGTTTTCGATAATTTTTGAAATTAAAATTAAAATTTCGGAATTAAAATATAAAGACCAAAGGAGTAAATCGTACAGTACTAGCCGGATACATACAAAAAATTAAAATGAATATTATTAATTTTTGTTTCCTTAATTATCTATTTAATCGATATTTCCTGTTCTTATTCTGGAAAAATTCAGATAATGTTACCGTGAAATATGCAAATTTCATAAATCCCTCTTATTTTTACGTGTCTTTGGAAATGTGTCCGAAGAGAAAAAAGTTGAAATTTTGGGATAAATTTAAATTTTAACATGTTATTTTCATCTCATTAGAGATAGTCTACCTGAGTGTATGGCTGATAATTTTGAATAAATCTCAATTTTTGAGAATGCTTTAAGCATTTCCATTTAATAAATATATTTTAGAGACAATTTTAATTCGAAAAAAAAAGGAAAAAAAAGAGATTTAAAAGGGAAATTACTCTTTAAGTTTCACTACAAAAGTATACAGTAATTTTCATAATAATTCTTTTGTGTCAGAATACGATATTGATTTCTCTTCCTCTGCAACATAATTCTCTTCACATCTTTCCTCGAATGTTTCTCGGGTCGAATAATGTCCCAATGGAGGTGATCCATTCTGTGTAGCGGATATGGTACGTGGAAGTGATGTTGATTCTGTTGTTTGATACCCGTTACCATTACGTCGTATTCCTGCGGTATTTAGTTGCTTCCGGCCATCATTATCCACAATCATTTCCGATCGACCGGTTGTCTCACCACCAGTACCGGTACCTGTATCAGTACCAGTTCCGGTTTTGTCATATACATTACCATCACTGATTGTTCGATCGAATGTTTCGCGAATTTTGACTGTACTACTAGTAGTGGTATACAAAGGATTGCGCTTTCCACGCATGGAACGAATGGTTCCAGCTCCATTTGGTGTACTGTACAAATCGTCCTTATCCTTCCGGATCAGATTTTCCTTACCAATCTCTTCTTGTGATTCATTTTGCTTGTAAGAACGATAACCCACTGCAGGATGTTGATCTTGATAATTGGTTACTGAAACAGAAAATTGGGTAAATTATGAAGATAGAGGAATGGATGCAGAGAATGTTATTTTGGATTGTAAATTCTAAAATTTTTCAACTTTCATTTTTGATTAATCAGTAAGAATTACGTGCATTACGTTGAAAACATCTGAATCCTGCAGCATGCATGTCAAACACTCGAAGCACTTAATGACGAAAAGTCTCGAAAATGCCATGGCGCAATTGTGCTTCGAGTATATTTTCAATACTGTTAATAGAAAGATGAACAAACGGTTTTGTTAGTATAGACAGGCTTGTGAAAAGAAAGATATCACACATTTGTGATACGATTGATAAATTTGTTTTTTTTTTAATTTGAATTTCACGAAATATTAAATTTCGAGCAAACTGGTAGTTAATAATTATTCCGGAATGAGTAAATAAAATAATTATATGAAGAGTTATTTAAAGAATAAATTTTCCTAACAGATTTAATGAAAACAGTGAAAAATTTGAATAAACATTAGCCAGATAAATGATATAAGATTAAAAATTTTGATCTGGGGATGATAAATGATACTACTTTGATGATAAGATCATAAATTATTCGGAAAAGGAAAAAATCAGATCGATGGAATGGGAGAGAATGTACATGAAAAGTAATTGATAGGATAACTATCGTATGAAAGGATTAAGTAAGTAATATTTGAATTCAAAATTTTTGCTCGAAAATTTAAAAACTTAAAATTCAATCTCTCAAACTCAGAATTTGTATTTAAGAAATTGAATGTATAAACAAATAATGGTGTAATGTTATCAGAAGTTGTCATTTCTGAGAAGGATTTCAAATTTTCAAATTAAATCGATATTTCCAAAAAATTTGTAGCTTAGGATCATTTTTATAGCTTTATAGCTAAAATTTAAAGCTTAGGAATTATTACCTATTCGTTGCATTGCAATTTAATTAATCAAATTTCGAGTATTTAGGCTCATTACTGATTTTTAATTGTCTAATGATGGAAAAGGTAATTTTAAATTAGAATGAAAACGAACTCTTTGTTTGCTTTCCTTTATCCAAAGACTTGTTTTGCTTTGTGATTTTCCTAAGGAACCAGATTATTGTACTGAGAAGAGCACAGAGAAGAAGTAATCCTAATATTATAAATAGTATCATCAACCTGAAATAATTTTTTACAATCTTCTGCAAAAAAAAAAAAGTCATTTTACCATAATTCAAATTTAAAAATGATTATATGGGATAGTCAAATTTTTAAATTTAATAAACTTTCAATGCAAAATTTGCATTCGAAATAATTAATTAATTAATGAAAAAGTACCATAGAGGAATTACATTTTCTTGAGGTATACAACACACTCGACCACAGCATTCCAAATCAGGTCGACATCTGTAATATTTATGACAATTAATGGTTGCATTAATGAAAATCAGCATTTTATAATTCTCAAATCAATCTATCCAAGTTTTTTTTTTTTTCAAAGATACTAAGCTGATAATATTGTCTTTTATATAAATGTTATATTATCAATGATCGTAGTTGAAAAGAATTATTTTTCTTTTAGAATTATTTTTCTTTTAATGAATAGAAATAATTAGTTAATTAATTAGTTTCATCATCATAACTTGTTACCTAAATTCGTATCGTTCGTTGCGACCGGATACGTCAGCATCCTCGAAAATACATTGTATGAAATCGTTATCATAACCCTCGTATCGGATCCCGCGACTTTTCGACTGTATCAACAGATCCATAATAATGGTACAACAAGTAAATAATAAATGAAGCGCAATTGATCGTCTGTTATGCGCCTATTTTTCGTTAATGGCTTTTTTCGGACTGAAAAAAAAAATTAAGTTTATTATTTCGAAAAGTAAAGTAAAAAACCGATGTCAATCCTAAGGAAGTACAAACATTTAAAACAAATTATTGGAGAAATCAAAACAGTCAACAACTTTCCTACACTATCAGAATAATTAAGCATATCCGGGGTCATAGGTTACAGCTGAAAATTTATCGATCAAACTATTTAAGGTTTAATAGAAAGGAATTCCTATAATTTTACCATACATACAAGACAAGTAAAAATAATTGGCGTTGCTGCTTCCACTCTTTCTAATTTTTGCTAGCTTTTCATGATAATTATTGTAAGGAACTGAAAATTTCCAAGTTTTTAAGGATTAATAATTATGGGACGGATGACTGCTGTCACTGCAAGAAGGCGCAAAATGCAATCATAACAGAGACAACTCCGCCATAAATTCTGCAACGTAGATGAATGAATCAGAAGGAACTAATTAAAAAGTACAATAATACAATATATAAATGAAAATTGGCATGAGATGCGCCTGAATGACTTCACGTAAGAGGAACGTATAACATGAAGAAATATATTGAATGATTTCGCGTAAGAGACACGCATAACGTGAAATAACAGACTGTATAACTTCACGTAAGGAGCACGTATAACGCGAAGAAACAGAAATGTCAAGTCAAATTTTAATCAGAAAAAAAAAATTCAATTTAATTTATTATGATAAAATGATTAAATTCAATATTTAAGCGAATTGATATTTTCTATAGCAATTTACTGTATCGTTTTAATTAGATACATTATTAATTAGAAAGTTATGAAATGGTAGGGGTGAAGGGTGAAAGGTCAAATTATCTTAGGCTAACTAGTCAAGGCACTTATCGATAGAAAGTAAAGAAAAAAAAGACAGGAAACAATTGCAGAAATGAAAATTTAACAGGTATTGATGTGCACATCATTTTCTTGTCAACCAATTTCTTCCATTTCTTTTCCTTCCTCATCTTTCCTTACCAATCATATTTTATTTATTATTTGTTAAGTTTGTTATTTAGGTATTGGCTTGGAAACGAAATGGGAAAAAAAAAGCTAAAAAATTTATTTTTTCTCAATTTCCAGTTTTTTTTTGTTTTTAAACTAACTTCTGAAGATGGCACTATAAACTAAATGCTATTTTCTACAAATCAACAAACACGTACATGTGAATTTTAACATCAAATTAGAAGTAAATAAGTAATGGAAAAGAGAAATTAAAAATAATAATATACTTTTTCAAATATTAATGATTTGTTTATTGAAATTTGAGGTAAATTGGGAAAAAAACTTTCGAATAAATTTAAGTAAAAAAAAGAAAAATTAGATAAAATTTGAAATTAAATTTTTATCAAAAAATATTAAAGAGAAAAGAAATTGAGAAAATACATTTGTTCGGTTAAAAAATGAAACAAGAAAAGATTGGAAAAGGAAGAAGAGTAGATGAAAAGGAAGCTTGAATTGAATTGAATGAATGAATGGGGCGCTTTTTTGAATAGATAGATGAATGGGGCGCTTTTTTTTTTCTTAGTCTTTTTTTTTTNTTTTTTTTTTTTTTTTTTTTGTAAAAATTTCAAATGTTAAATAGCGGAACCACCGTTATGATCACTTTCTAACAAGAAATAAACCAATCGTCAGAGGTTGCATCAAATGGAAGAACTATGCAAAAGTTCTTCAAATAGCACCACATCAAATTCCTTCTTCACCTTTTCCTCCACCATCAATTGGGAAAATAGAACCAACAAAATGAATGTTTATGTATGTGTGTGTATGTGTGTGTGTGTCTGTCTGTCTGTCTGTCTGTATATTCATATATGTTTTTCCATTTGTCTGTCTGTCACATGTTTGTCAGCATCTTTTACATTTCATCAATGTATTATAAATATATATATATATATATTAAAAGTGACGATAGAACCGGTTTTTGAGTGGACGTTTTTGATTTTGAATAAGTGAGTTAGCTTTCAGGTGATGTTATTTGATTAATTTGTGGCATTCATTTACATCTCAAAATTTTGTCGTCATCATTTGTCGTGTTCATTCCCATTCGATGAATAAACAAAATTCATAAGAAAGGAGCACTTTCTTGCTTATTTCATCAAAATTATTGATACAAAATGAGAGGAAGAGAGAGAGAGAGAGAGAAAAAAAGAGAGAGAGGGAAAGAATGAACTATTCATTTTTCAATCAATTTGAATATAAAATTGTTATAAAAGTTCAAATTGAAGCAATCGATATCATTTATCAATTTGATTTAATTTTAATTAAAACTAAAATTAGGTAATTAAGAACTAAAAAAAATTTGAAATGTCTTAGAAGTTTGTTTATAAAGGAAGTTTTAGCAAATAAACTTTTCAAAATAATTTTATCAAACAGTTGTTTCTTTTTTTTTTTGAAAGTATAATTCAATACTGAAAATTGATATCAAAAATGATTGATTGGATTGAAATGCTATATGGAATTTGAGCATATTTTATTGGATAAAATTTACTTTAAGAAAATTTTAATAATTAAATTAAAATTTAAAGAAAACATATGAATATATCCATTGTATAAATATTTAAATGCTGTAATGCATTTAAATTATGCATTTTTAAAAATAAAATTAGGTCACGTTGATTTAGGCATTTTGAATCCCAGTAATTAATTCATCTATTCATTATTGCATATCATTCAAAATCAAACGACTTTTAATGCTCCCCTCCCTCTGACCTCTTCCTGTCACTTGTTTAGAGTTGCTATAAAAAGAATTAACAGATGTCATCGAATTGCTGAAACCCATTAAAACGGAACGATTTTTATGACATTTAAATTTCTCTCAAACAAAAAAAAATTGAACAAATCAAAAAGTTTTTCAAAAATTTTCTTTTTAGCAGTCATAATTTTTAAAAATTAATTGTTATTTTATTAGAGTGGAAGAGAAAGTTTTTGCTTAAACTTTTAACGCTTCGATGATAACAGCCATTGTACAAAGTATTTGAATATTTTGATAAAATGTATGAAATTATTGAGAAATATAAATAGCGAAATTTAAAAATTGAAATGACGCACATGGCAAAATTGAAGGAAAATGAATTAATTGATAATTGATGATATCATAGAATTGAAATTTATCATTAATCAACTTTTTTTTAATGGCATAAATTAAATTTAATCTGATAAAAGTGAAAGTAATTATTTTAAGCAAGATATTTGGCAACAAAATTTCTTTTCCTAATTTTGAATCAGTACCTAAATAATGTATAAAATTTAATGGTTAATTTAATTTGCCTAATTATATGCAAGAATTCTTCTGATTTCATTTCAAAAATTTGATTCAAATGTCATCAAACAAGTTTGTCAAGTTTGTCAAAAGAAGCATTCTTACTCTTTCTTAAACAGTAATTCTAACTTCAAATATTATTAATTACCTTGTTTGTCAGCTAATAATGAAAACTTTTTGTACCAAAAAAATTTTTTTCTCTTTTTATGAATTTTTATTTACAGGTGTAATAAAAATTTTGAAAAAGTAGCAAGAATTTACAAAAAATGGCAAAATAATAAACTTTAAAAATAAACGTAAAAAATGTTGAATGAAAGATTACAATATGTAATGAATATATGAACAATAATGGAAAGGTACGGAATTGTTATAATTAAATTAATTTCAAAATAATTAGAAATAAGAATTAATTACAAATTAATCGAATATCTACTGATTCTTCTTTCGAAAACAAAAAAGAAAACATAATTTAGGAAGAGGAAAAAAGAAGCGGAAAAGTCTGATAATTAACAATCGAAGCGTTCTTTGATTGATAATATAAATTTTCAATAAAAACTTTAGATTTTAAAATGAGTCATTATTTAAGATGCTAATATTGCTTTCATTTCAATTTCAATAAAATTTAATACTTTCACTGTAAACATTCCTGATAAAAAGAACAGAACAGAACAGAACAGAACAGAACAGAACAGAACAGAACGGAAGAGAACAGAACAGAACAGAACAGGA